TTACAATAGTCAATACGGGATGTGACGAATGCATGAACCAGGACTTCAGTGCTGGATTGAGACAGGAGTCTGGAGAAGAATGCAGTCCGGGTGATGTTTTTTATGTGGGTGCAGATGAGAGGGAGCTGTCCAGAATGACACCAAGACGTTGTGTTTGAGTTGTGCTCTTGATAAGCCATTAAAACAGTAAAATAAGTGTCTCCTGTGCACCAAAACATACCCATCTGTTATGGAAAAAGAAAGTATTCCAAAAGTATTCTAAAAGTAATCTGAATACGTTGTTGAGGTCTACTAGAATAGATTTACATTGTTCAATGTTCCAAACTCACATTGGTTTCTCATACAGCATCTCTGTATAGTATGTGTATTCACTCTCTGTCCTAAATGGCTTGTTGGAGCTCCTGCCCCTCCCTCCCTATGAGCCCAGTGTGCTCTGATTGGTCAGCTCGCCCACTCTGTTCTGATGAGTCCACCACCGTTACAGCGGAACATCAGTGATTATGTGTTACAATGGCGTTAGCAACCAGAAAATGACACCAGTAATGACAAACAGATGAGAATGCTGCGTGGTGTCTGGGTGCCGTGTTGGCGGGACGTTGCGCGGCTCGCTGCTGTGAGGAGGGGACAGTGTGAGCTGGATTACTGGTGTCATTTCCTGGTTGCTGCATTGGGTCTGCGAGACAACGCGAAACTCAGCCTGAACTCAGCCTGGCACACACACTCATAGCCTGGCTATGAGTTTGTGTGTTTGCTGAGTTTCGCTGTGTCTCGCTGTCTCAGGCTGAGTTTAGGCTGAGTTCAGGCTGAGAAATCCGCAGAGCTGCGGCTGAGAAAAGATAAGGCTGAGTGAGTGTGTGTGTGTGTGTGTGTGTGTGTGTGTGTGTGTGTGTGTGTGTGTGTGTGTGTGTGTGTGAGGAAGTCCGCGTAGAGACCAATCCACGTAGCTGTTACGTCACTTAGCCCCTTACGTCACTCCGACCCAGGAAGAAAAAAATGGAAAAAGAAAAATCTCCAACTAGGCGTTCTGGGGCAGCATAGACAGGTATTTTCTGTGTTAAGAGTTTTACTCGCTACAGGGTGCACTTTGAGGGTTTGTGATAATAAATAACCGGAAAAGCATGACATGGGACCTTTAAATAAATACCAGATGTACATGATTATCAGTCTTACCTCCTCACAGAATCCAACTGGTCTGCTGTGTAGGATTTTTCTGAGGGCTTTGCTTCAGGTCTGGTATCGTCATTGTTTGGCTGCCGCTGTCGAGGACCTGATTGTCCATTAAAGTCTGAGTGACCACCTCTAGGTGTGAAGCCATTCTTTGCTATCATCTCCAGCAGTACTAGAAGGGATTCAAGAACAGGAAATGTTAAAAGATATTCAGACAAGAACTCAACATGGGAGCTGAAAAGGCACAGCTGAAGGCTAACACTTGAATTCCCTCCTTTAGTAGTCAACATTTTCCAAATAACATACGCTGTAATACAAGGCGTGTTTGTTGGATTGATTTTCAGGTTACTAGAACAGTTTTATACTGCAAGAGCCTTAATACAATATGGTCAGTAGTGGTCCCTTTTAGAAACGTACCAATATCTATGTTTTTATTATCTATTGGAGCGACTACTGATTATTTCAATTATCAGTTTATCTGCCTATTACATTCTAAATTCATTTTTTGGTGTATAAAATGTCAGAAAATAATGCAAAAAGTCCATCCTAGTTTCTCAAGTTCAAGGTGATGTCTTGTCTTCTTTTGTCAACTCAAACACAAAGATATTCAGTATAAAATGGTATAAAATTGAGAAAAGCATGAATTCTCCATGTTTAAGAGGTTTAAAAAACAAAATCCTGCGACTTTGCATGAAATATTACTTTAACATTTAATGGATTATTAAAATAGATGGCGACTATTTTTCTGTCATTCCACTAATCAGTTTGAATAGTTTAACTCTATTATCCGTTTCAATTTAAGATTTGAAAAGCAATAGGACAACATTCTCATTAAAATTGCAAAGGATTTCAATCATATTTCATGTCATATTCATTAAAAAACTCAAATATTACACTATCTTTGACCAAATGTCTATATAGAAACAAACATGTATGTGACAGTCATAACCTGAGAATTAACAGTGGTGCAGCATTTAAGGTCCCCAAGAAATGCCTTGGAGCTATTTTATAACATTAATTTACAGTATACATATTGGTGTGATGATTGAATAGGGTATAACTGTTGGTGTTATAGACACAGGAAATATGTCAGACAGTAAAAGAAGAAGAAGAAAGCTCACTAAAAGCTGTCCTATAAACTCAGTGGTACACTGTAATATAGTTTATTTGACTCATAAGCCACATCTCCCAGACTTATATCCATTTCTCTCATACACCTACATGTATCAAAACATTTTTTTAACACACTGCTTGACAATTTTGATCAGCCGTACATGGGATACACTAAACCTGTACTATAACCCAAGTTGTTTATGTATTAAGGATTTACTGCCATTTGTGTGTGTTTGGTTGAGGGCTGAGTATTTGGCCCAATGTATGTCATGTTCAGGCCTATCACTGTGCTGTTTCATATTTTGCTATTTCTTGTATGTGAGTATTATGGTATGTCTTAGTTGCTGGAATGGGTGGGTCTATGGCATAATGTATGTTAACCATTAACAGTGAGTGATAATATAAAACTGGCTTAAACCAATCCCAGACTTCCTAAGGTATCTAATAAAAAGCAACTGAAAACATATGACACTTAGCATATCTGTTACATGGTGAGCAGGTGTACATAATATTCCATAACATATAATAGCTAGAGTAAGCGTTTGCGACATTATAACAAAAATAAAGCAGCTAGCTCGTTAGCTACCAAAGGCCCGGCTGCAGCAGACCCGGGAAGCAGGTGATGCTGCAGGTGATGATGCTGCGGTCCTCCCCGGCTGAAGCGCCCTTTACATCGGCCATCTTAAAACTCACCCTTCGCTTTCTCTGTCGGGAAGAGTCTCTGCGCCTTCTCCAGGAACCTCTGCGCCTTCTCCGGCTGCTCGTTGCTTAACGCCGCAGTTGCAATGTCGATGCAGCGCTCCGCTTCGTCCCTGTTTACCTCCATTGCAGCAGCAGCAGCAGCGAGCTAACTGGACCTGAAGTAAATACAGGCGCCTGCTGATGGCGTCATGAGGATGCTGCAAATGGGTCATTAAGCTTTTTTAATATATATGTTTTGTATTTATTGAAAATTATACATTAAGGCATATTAACCACAAGAACAATGAATACACCCAAGGACACATTAGATAAATAACACAACATAATTACAGGCTTTAACAAATAATAGGCCTATAAAAACTTTAAAAAAGAAATAAAATACAACAAGAAAACAGTTTGGTAAAATTAGAAAGATTATTTATTCTACCATGCAGATCAGTTACTTTCCTGTCATTACAGTAAAGTGCTACCAAATCACTTAAAAATCAAGTAGCCTATACACTTCTACTACTACTACCAAATAACATTCATTGTGAAAAAGATGCTTTGGAATTTTGTTTATGATTCACTGTTATAGATAGCCACCACTGAGTTGTGCCCAAAATCACTTCACACATAAATTGTCTCATGCTGGTTACACTTACATACTTCTTATGTAGAAATATGCTTTTGGATGCTTTTGGTGAATATTTGTTGTGCAAAAATATTTAAGAATTACACTAACATTAGTGTAGTGCTATAGTCTATGAGTGTTACACAAAATCCCTTGACACATTAATGGTCTACTGTTGGTTATACTACACAGATGAGGTAGGAAAAGAATCCTTCTGCATATTTATTTTTGGATTATATTAAATATTAAACGGTCTATAAAAACACGTCGTTTGTGATTTGAGAATGTTTTTGAAGTTGAATGTCAAACATATTTCTAACTTTATCTTCGATCCCTGTGCCGTATGATTTCTCCACTAGATGGAGGCTGTCTGATAACTTTGAATTTCTACATTACTGTTTAATGTAGGTCATGATAATAAAAAATCATAGATTTGTCAACCCATTTAGAATATGGATCCACTGCTCCACTGGACCATCTCCTACATTCAAATTCCCTATTCTAATTTTGATATTCCTAAATATATTATTATATTTTTGGCACTCAATAGTGAGTTGAACTACTCTAACGTGCTGTTTTCAACGAATGTTTAGGTGTTTTTTACTGGCTTTGATATTGATTAACTTGCATGTTTTTACTAGTTTCCCTATGTGTTTCATTATGAGAGGGAGTTGATGGCGTGCTAGAACAAGCAGCCCGTATTTCCCTGCGTGGGTGGGCGGGGGTCCTCTGCCGATTGGTGTACATAAACTTGTTTTGAACAACTCGTAATTCTGCTCGTATCACACCGGTACCTTGTCCATATCGTTAATCCACGCGTGAATGGAAATATGTGTGCAGTTAATTCAGTACAGGTCTAGACAGTAGCTGCAGCTCTCCAGATGAGGTACATCTGGCAAGAGAATGAATAAAAGGTGAACAGCAGATGATCAGTCAGCCAATCAGAACCCGAGCTTGAGGCGGCATCCGAGCGCTGATTGGCCAGTCCCACCTCGAACTCCAGCTCTTATTGATTCGTTTGCTGCGGAGCTAACGTTCACTCTCCCTTTCTGGGTTACTGTAGTTCTATCAGCTACATCTCCCAAACATAACCGGACCCTCTTTTTCTAATCTTCTTCTTCTTCTTCTTCTTCTTCTATTTTGGTGAGTAATTTACCTTCCTTTTATTTGTTCTACAGGTGTAATTTTTGTGTTACGCAACGCAGCAAATGTCGTCTTCCAGTGAAAAGTCAGCAGCTGCAGCAGCATCAACGTTACATGACCATCCTCTTCCTCATCAGCTTCGCCTGCTAGCCTACCGAGGCTAACGAACGACAGATTAAATAACATAATTTGCCGTTGGCTCATCACAAAAACACGGAATTTACGAATTTGTCCCATTTATTTTTTTACCGCTCAGAACAACACCAAAACGCAGACACAATGACGGAGGCGGAGGCGTTGGAGAAGAAACAGCAGCAGCACAAGGCGAGCAACGGAAATGTTCTTCCAGAGGCCCCCAGAGAAGACATGTTTGATCACACATACAAAGAGAAAGAAGGCCCCAAACCTCCCTCGGTCATCGTATGGAGAAATGTCTTTTTGATGACTCTGTTGCATATAGGAGCCGCGTACGGAATATGCCTCGTCCCCTCAGCATCTACTTTGACCTTGCTTTGGTGTGAGTAAAACAATCTACCTGTTACATGATTTCTGCGCAGGTTGAGTGTTGAAAGTGACTTTATTTTCCGATTAGTAGGGTACATAGTGTACACAGGCCCACAAATGTTATGTCACCGCTGGTGCATGCAATAAGGTGGCTCAGGCTGGATAGATCTGTGCACACTCCTCCCAGTAGCCTGCATGTAGTGGGATTATAGATCAAGGCATATATCACCAGAGATTTAATGTCACAGCATGCCTTTTGAAGCTGCAGATTGTAATGCAGGTGCTTGTCAGGAACATAGACCAATTGACAGACAAACTATGACGTTTTCTTTAAGTAAGGGTCGGGAGCAGCCTTGAGTTGATTTCTTACATAATTCGTTGTGAAATATGCAAATGAGGCATCTAAATCAAGTGAATTCAAGAAAAATCTACTGACTCAAATAGACAAAGTCAGGCAAAATATACTTCTGAATGTTTTTATGCTGTTTGCTTTACAAAAGTCAGCTCAACTGTCCAGACAATATTTGTCAAGTCAAAGTACAGAAAGTACAAATAAATTGTACTCAAGCAAAATGCATGCTGCTTTTATAGCTTGAAACATTTTATCAAATGCTTCGCTTGTGTGTGTGTTCTGATTAATCAAAACCACAGAGGCAGCACTTATGACTAGATTTCCAGTCTAAGAGACATGCAATCATCAAATGGTTTTATCCACCCAGTCATCATCTGATGTGATGTGATTGGATCCCCAGAGAGTGGCGCTGGCACATGCTCACTTCATGGTTATCCAAGCTCTTGTACAACTAGAAAAAAAACGTTAAGACAAGGGCACATTTATATGATCGTCAGGAAAACCAATGTGATCATTTGTATTGTATTGTGAAGATCATCTTTGCACACATTCACAAGTATGCTGCCTTTTTTTAAAAGAGAAAATGCCTTACAGTGAGGGTGGTATGATTATTTCAGCTTCTTCTCTGTTAAAGGGGATTATCTCCTCTGCAGTTGCAATGATATAACGATGAAACATAGGTGACTCACTCACAATATAACACTTGTTGCAGGGTCATCCTACTAGCTTTGAATAGAAAATAGATGATGCATTGACATAACATTGTGCAGTATTTAAATTAGTAGTACTAATTTGTTTTTGCATTTCTCCCCACAGCCGTACTTTGTTTTGTGTTAAGTGCTTTAGGAGTTACTGCAGGAGCTCATCGCCTCTGGAGTCACAGATCCTACAAGGCCTCATTACCTCTAAAGATCTTTCTTGGCGTTGCGAACTCAATGGCATTTCAGGTACCTACATCTAACAGATCTGCACAAACACAAGCAAGCACACACTTAGCATTGTGATAATAGCAGTTTTCATTACTGCCTAAGTGCCAGGTGTTGTCCACAGTGTATGTAATCTGTGTTTACTTGAACCCGCAGAATGATATCTATGAGTGGGCTCGAGACCACAGGGTTCACCACAAATATTCCGAGACGGATGCTGACCCTCACAACGCCGTCCGGGGGTTCTTCTTCTCTCACATTGGCTGGCTGATGGTCCGCAAACACCCTGATGTCCTCGAGAAGGGACGCAAGCTGGAAGTCCATGACCTGTTGGCCGACAAAGTTGTAATGTTTCAAAAGAAGTAAGTAGCTTCTGTCAATTATTGATTTTTGTCATCAAAACTAAGTCACCTTTACTCATCTGGAAGGCAGTGGGGAAAGAAAACACACAGTATTGTGTTTGGGAAATATATCAAATGCAGAGCAAACAAATCACAATTAAACTCTCTCAACTACAATGTGCCCACCTCTGCTGCAGACATGTGTCTATATCTGTAGTTATTCTGGTTTAACTCGTTTAATTACCCACATGTCTTTCGCGCACATTGAGATTGACTCAAGGTTGGCCTCAAAGCAAACTGTCATTTTGAGTAAAAGTAATATTTGAACAGTCTCACGTCTGAAAGGAAGAACATTTGTGTGTTTAATGTCTATGTTGTGCTGTGTAAACAACTCCATTCATTCTGCTCTCCGCCCACTCTCAAATCTTCTCAACAGGTATTACAAGGCTTCTGTGCTGCTCATGTGCTTCTTCGTCCCCATGATTGTGCCTTGGTACCTGTGGGGGGAGTCTCTGTGGGTGGCCTACTTCGTCCCCGCTCTCCTGAGGTACACCTTGGTCCTGAATGCCACCTGGCTGGTGAACAGCGCAGCTCACATGTGGGGAAACAGGCCCTATGATCACCACATCAACCCCAGGGAGAACAAGTTTGTTGCGTTCAGTGCCCTAGGTATGTATTACGCATGAACCTGTACTCTGTGTGACAAAAGAAAACATAACTCAAGAACAAGACAGGAAATTAGGTTGGACTCATGATTTATAATAATACTTTACTAGTAATTTACACTTTGATGTATTGTCACCGTAAATTACACCACTACATTTAGCGGTTTAGAGGTAATATATGCACTTGTTACCGATACACACCTGTCAGTCAGAGTCCCTGGTCTAACAGTAATGGCATCTTTAAAATACCTTTAAAAATTATGGAATGATGTGAAGTAGGGCTGTGCGATTATGGCAAAAATCATAATCACGATTATTTGGGTCAATAATTGATATCACGATTATTAAATACGATTATTCATTGACTTTGAAAAAATCCATATATAGAACTTTAAAACAAATACAAATAATAATTTGAACAGTATCTTTTTAACTGTTGATTACCCTGAACGTATAATTCAACTGAAAAACCAATACAAAAATAAATAAAATAAATGATACATTTAAATAAATAATATCAAAATAATAAATACCAATAAACAAGATCAACAAATATTTTGGAGCGCACTTCCACAAGCTACTAAACATATATAAATATGATAAATACAAATAAATGAGACCAAAATTAATTAGATCAAATATGTTGCAGTGCACTGTCACAACCTAGCAAAGCAAAATAATTGTTTTTTTCGATTATGTTGTTTTCGTAATTGTGGCAGGCCAAAATCGTAATTGCGATTAAAATACGATTAATTGCACAGCCCTAATGTGAAGAATGCACAAAGGAAGTCTGACTCTGGGCTAAAGTTATCCTTCTAGCTAACAAAATAACACAACTCCTTCAACATCATTCAGTATTAGCTTTATTTAGTTTTATTTATTCACCACTGTTTCCTTTACCTTACAGGAGAGGGATTCCACAACTACCACCACACGTTCCCCTTTGACTATGCAACCAGTGAGTTTGGCATCAAATGGAACATTACCACTTGTTTCATCGACACCATGTGCTTCTTGGGCCTGGCCAAAGACCGCAAGAGGGTGTCCCACGAGGTGGTGGCGTCCCGGATACAGCGCACCGGAGACGGAAGCCCCCGGAGTGGCTAGGATCGTCGAGTCACGGTCAGCTTCGAAGGCAGAACAACCGAAAAGAAGAAGAAGCTTCACAGTCCTTTGACAGCTATACATTTCTCATCCTTTGAGGATAATAGGTCATCGTCATGAGGGCCCTGACCACATTTTGCTTGTTTTTGTGGTTTTTGTAGCTGTAACTTAACAAATTGTTCAAGATGGATAAAAAAAAAAAAACACCTTTCGCTAAGCTCTTGGCCTTGGTTTCTATTGTTCAGTCAGACCAAGGTCTTGCAAAGATGTTTTAGATTTGAAGTAGATACATTTTCAACTTCATTCTCTGCTGTTTTCGCCACTTTGGTGTGCATCCTTCATTCAAGATCAGTCATGTAGCCAATCATTTTTATGTAAGTATTACTCAAATATTAATCAAAAATAGACAAGACGTGGAGCACTGAAAATATGGAGTTACAATGTTTCAACCGATAAGATACTGATTGGAGGCTGTTTTCTGTACTGCAGTGTACAGCCAGTTTTTACCATTCTGATATACAGTTAGCTAACTTTTTGAGCGCTTTAAAGATCTGGAAAAAAAGGGATGAGATTTTGAATCGTATTTGCTAAAAAGCAGCTTGCTTTAATGAAATATGGCACATGATGGAAGAGTGAGGGAACCCAGACCTTCTTATTATAACTATACTAACAGCAGAGTCATGCAGTACGTAACCTGGTTTTCTGATGCAGAAAACCAAACCAAATATGTGGAAAGTCAAAGATTAAAACGTACTGTATTTAGTCTGTACAGTAATTGGATCGAGAAAGACAATATAAGCGAGACATTTATCATTATATTAAAACTGCCATTGAATCATAACGGTAAATGATAAATGTACTTAGAACCATGCTATGTTTAAGCAACTTTTTGTGTTTTTTTAATGAATATATCATAGTGCCAAGAGCGTGCCAATTGTCGACATATTTATAACAATCTCAACGGTCCAATAGAGCACACCTGAGTCGATATTGCTTCTTCACTCAACATCATTGTGGAAGTTTTTTAACATTGTGGCATCAGTGGCTTTGCTTCCTCTTTTTATCCAACACGCCCCCATTTTGTCCAGAAACATCTGCAGCAGCGATCTCATTGGTCGATGTAGCAGCCAGTCATGTGACAGTTCTGGTGTTACAAAACAACATGCCACCCATGCATGATGATATACTGTAGTAGGTGTTGTGGTAAAGATGTTTTATCGGTGACTGTAATGGCAGAGCTTTGTCTATTTTTGTAACGTACTGTAGAGCTGCATCGCTTTTTGGATCATCAGAACTGTTGCCGTGGTGATTTCTGAGATGGGGTCTGGTTTCCCTTTGATGTCCTACAAAGCTAATTGTCATTGCTAAATTTCTGATGCATTGATGTTAATGCTCATTTTCAATTCTGGTGTGCGGAATGCTTTTGTTACCTTTTTTATTTATGTATTTATTTAGTTATTTTCCCCTTTATTGGCTAAATTTTGTTTCCAAAATGTTCTAACTTGAACCTGTTTAATGCACTCCAAGATTTGGCAGAAAAATATATCAAATTTGAGCACCCATTTAATTTTTCCCTAAGAGTCAGGAAACAACCTAATGCCTTATGACTTGCATCCATTCCTGATCTTCTTCACGTCCTGTCAGTGAAGACAAAAAGGCTCAAAACAAATCTAACAGAGGTCCATGTTTACAGGCTGAAGCCCCCGATGGAACGTTGTTTTTATTCTGAAAACACATTTACGTTAGGCAAAGGGTAGAATGACAACATCAAAGTGCTGTAAACGCAAATGGAGGTTTATATTAGAAGATACAATTTCTAACGCCCAGTGCAAATGTTCAATCATTTGATTTAACTTGCAACAAATGGGCCCTGATGTGCCAACTCGATCCAACCCGTGACGGCATCTCTGTAAACGGAGGTGCTCCTGTCATGAGGGATGTTAAAGCATCATCAGAGCACTTAACAAAACCCGACAATATCACAGCCATGCCAACAACTCCTGCTGCCCAGAAGGTTCAAAAAGTTGTCAGTCTGAATGATAATGTCAAATCTCAACTGTATTCTATTCTGAAATAAAAGTTCACGATATTTTCAATACACGTAATTCCATTAACAGTTGTTGATCTTCTTTTTTCTCGTTGTCTTTCTGATATGAATCAGCATAACAATTGTTGAATTAGTAAAGCTACTTTTTCATATGATTATTTAAAACATTTGAAGAATACTTTGGAAACAACTCTTATAAAACAGAAAACCATATATTATAATAAGAGGTATGTACTATTTGTCTAGTGGAGTGATACAATGCTCCATTGATTTGGAAGTTAGAGCAGGAAAACATTTGCATTTGTTTTGGAATGTAACTGCAACAAACTAAAATATTCAAAAAAACACATTCCCTCCCAGTCTACACAGCCTGAGATTAAAGATGTAAATAACACTAGTACACAACAGACTTATTTATCTTACATTTTGTGCACAAGTTAGTTGAAATCCATGTTATTGAGCACAGGTGTGGCATATCAATCCACCAATTAACCAGCATGCTATTGCACAAAATACATTTATTAAGCACTCTCATCTATGGATTTTAGGGGGATACGTTTACTTTTAATACTTTTAAGTACAATTTGACAGTGACTTGTACCTGTAGCAGGATAAGTTTACATTGCTGTATAACTACTTAACTTAAATAATGGATCTAATTACTTTTTCAACACTAGATGTGAAGGGTGCAGATGATAGCTGTATCCATTCACTGTTGAATCTATAAAATGTCAGAAATGAGGTAAAACAAAACGAACCAAAGCAGTGCAAAACAAGATAATAAAGTAACAATTATATAACAGAAAGAGAATCCTCTATTTTGAGAGTGAGGGGGTTTTAATGCTTTATAATTGACCTAAATGATCACCTTATTTAAATGACCGATTGTTTCAGCATTGGGGAACTTTGCTTAACAAAAATGACATTTTGTAACCTCCACAAACCCAACACAAGCAAACAGGCTGAGATAGTCTGATGTAATACAAACTGGCCTCTGGTCAGCACACTGGTCCTACATTCCTCTCTGCCCTGTGTAAACCATTTCACACATCTGCTGAGGGCTTTATTTATCTACAGGAAAAAGCAGAGGACTGCAGTATTAAAAAGTTGGGATATATTTGACTTTCACACTTCCATCAGACGCAAACCGGAAGTGTTGAGTAGTTAGTAGTTGGAACAAAACATTCCCAAGTGAATAATAGGCAGGAAATAACAGAGGCCTTCCTTTCAATCCGCTCCATCCTAAAGTACTTGACTAACTTCAGCATTAGGACCAACACAATGGAAAAATACTCCTTACTCTCCACTTTTATGCATCAAAAACAACCCTATAATATATAGTATGGCATAGTATGGCATTGACCCCAGTGGAGTAAAATAACTAAATGCATTTATTTTAGTACTGTACTTCAGTACAATTCTATGGTACTTTACTTGAGTATTTTAATTTGTTGCTACTTTGTACTTCTACTTCACTACAATTCAGGGTTAAATTGTGTACTTTTACTCCACTTCATTTATTTTATACCTTTAGTTAGTTTACACATTTGGATTAATGATGTAAGATATAATCAGCACTTAAATAGCACTTTAATTACACCTGGAGTAAATTCGCAAGCTACCCTGCAGCATACACAGATTAAAACTAGCTGCACCTTTACCAGTTTAGATAAACACATTAATGTCTATTGTCTTAATAATTATAATCAAAACATATCATATATATTATTCTGAAATGGAACAATCTGCATATTGAGTACTTTTACTTTTGGTACTTTAAGTTTATTATGATGCTAATACTTTTGTAATTTTACTTGAGTAACATTTTGAATGCAGGATTTTTAAGTACATTTTTATTTGTGTTGGAAACAACCTTTCTGATTTTAATTGAATTGTAGCTGGATAATGAAGTAGGTCAACATCCAATGGGGGTATTTTTTGGCAGCATCACAGCTGTACTGTAATACTAGGTCAGGGTAAGTATACACTCAGCACATTGAAGCCTTATTTACCTCCAGGCCACAGCGTCCAATAAAGGAAGCGCAGAGCATGACTCAGGGCGCCGCGGCGGAGTGGTGTGATGTGCGGGGAAGTCGCATTACAGAAACATCACCCCAGACCCCAGACGGACATGACGGTGAGGTTACTGCCGTTCAAAACCCCAAAATATTTAACGCCACGAAGCTCACGCGAGCGCAAAGCGTCTGACAATGGGCGGCCAATCAGCAGCGAGGACCTGACTCAGAGTGATGCTCATTGGCCAATGGTGGGAAGGGCGCATGCACCACCTGTGCTGGCTTGTAGAATGTCATATGATATAACATCTCAACAGGGAACTAAATGAATGAGTAGTGACACACCCCTCTGAAGTAAGAGCATATTGTGGTGCATTTCAATGCGTTTGGTGAGAATGGGAAAATATATTTTCAGCTGAAGTTGGTTACCTGTTGGTTTGGATGCAGAAACATCTACTAAGTGCTGGTAGTACTAGTAAGTAAGCCTACCATCCATGTTGCAGTGGTGAAGCAGGAAATAAATAAAATGCATTGCTGCTTATTAAACAGAGAGCCATCTACCGTTCAAACATGGACATTGCAGGATATCAACAAAGACAACAATACTGAAATGTTAAAATGCTGATTCTTGCATTAAAAAGTCACTAAAGCAAAATGAACAACAAAAGAAGTGTTCTTATTTCGAATTATACTACTTTTTAATATAATAAATCCATATTTTAAATAATTAGTACACTGTTTGGCAGTTTAATCCATAACAATTGTTCATATTCTTTTTGTATATTCATTATGTTTTGTATGCAACATCTCAAGAAACTAAAGCTTTCAAATAAATGTATGTTTATTCACTTTATTTTCCTTATCTTGTATGTCAATATGTCCAACATTATATTTGTTATTGACTAACGATGAATTCATAAAACATTATTTTCTCAACCTCTGGTAAATGGATATTATCATGTTTGAAGAAATCAATCTGAAAACCTTTGAAGTGAAGTTTTATTTGAAAAAGATACCGACATGAAAGTAAGCAACATGGATTGTATAAATATCTGTGCAACCAAAATGAGCACAGAGGCCTTCTGCTGCCATGATACACCAAACTATCCAGCTTTACGTCCAGCTACAATCCTTAAAATATCATGTTTTAACCGTTAGTTCATTGTTGGTATCATTGTATGATCTAATAAACAACTACGAACAAAAGGATAAGAATTAGCCCGGGCAAAAAGAGGAGTAACAGCATCTTTAACAGAAGGTGAAGCACCTATGTCAATTCATACGCAGTTCGACATAAATTAATGTAATTCTAGTTTATGAGCTGCTATGTAAACTAATCACACTGAAGAAATTATATAGAGAATCAATCTTTCACACAAGCTATCAGAAATAACAGTACTAAAAGGGCCTGGTTGACAAAAAATGGCGATAAACACAAGATAAAAAAGCAACTTGACAATCACCATATGGCAGTCTGCTGCAGTGCTTTGGCCAAAAACAGCCCGTCATGGCACAATCAACCGGACACAATCAGTTACAGCAGATGAAGAGAACAATCAGTATTTAAGTTACAGCGTTTCCTTGATGCTTGTTGTTAATTGACCTGGTAAAAAGAATATTGGTGTTTTCTCCCTTGTACAAACTACACCGACAGGATAGATGTGAGTGCAGCCCACATGTATTCCTGGAGCACTGCATGTATCCTATCAGAAATGATTCAATGAGAAATATGCACGTAGTGTAATGTGGATTATGAAAATGCAACTACTTGTACAAACACCGCCTTGATTCAAACTTTGTATATTACATCAACTTTTGAATTTACACAGAATCACAACTTTCAGAATACATTCATTTTTTATCGTAAAATTACCACAGCAACATTGACAAATCTCTACAAAAATCCACCTCACCGCCCAAATCAGCCTTCAGGAAGGAATATGTATGGAGTGATGAAGACCACGATCTGCAATATCATCAGTAAGTATTATTCTCATTATCAAAGCAGGTCATAAAGAAATAAATACATATATAACAATATGGTAACACTGAAGTCTGGTTGGTGCCCCCCCCACCTCCAGGGTTTAGACGCCCAGCTTGTTGGCGATGGTCATGAGCACTTTGAGGATGGGCATGAAGGCGGAGATCTCGCTGAAGTTGCTGCTGCTGACCACCTGGGTGTGGACCTCCAGGCCCCGCTGGTAGTTCTGGCTCGCCACGCAGCGGCTGATCTCGTGGAGCCCGTTCAGGATGCTGTGAGAGAGCTAAGAGACAACAAATATGACATGTTACTATGTGGCATCCTAGGTTTATGAAATGTCAGGAAATTGTACAAATGTGCTCATAATAAGGTCTGAGTGTTCATGTAGGCATCTTTAAATGGCTTACTTGTCCAGAACTTGAGTTTGTTTAGCCTTTTTGATGAATACACTTTAAATGAAATACTTAAAAGATTATCAAGATGGTTAGTTCAGCAGAAAATCTTTTGTCCGTTAAGGGCAGTGTGCTAGAGAGTCGTTTTTCACACTATTACTCAAATAGAAATCAATATTATTTTACAGATGTTCTGACAACTCTTAAGGATTTTTTTGCAAGTAAATTGGTTAGCAGAGGTGTTTCAAACTGGTAAAGAACTAGTGTTTTTTTCACACACATCAGCACCTGATTGTGATTAACTGGGATGTTTGTTTGACTTTTCCCGACTTGTAAAAACTCCCCTCTTATTGCAATCGGATGTTCTGGTTGATATCTACATAGCAAACATACAATGTGGTCCATTGCTGCCTTTTACTGTGTCACTGCTGATGTATCGTGACTATAAATGTACAAAAAGGTGTTATGGTTTCTTCTGTCATTAGTCGACCATCCTTCATTTTGCATCCATTAAAAATACGGCAGGAACTCTGAAATATTAATAGTGATGAATTGATTTACAATAACGGATAAAAGACAATATCCATCATACATTTTCTTACTGCACAGGAGTATCATAACCTTCTAAGGGGTGGCTTTTAGCGACAACCAATAACTCTTGTCATGAGATTTTAATAAA